TTTGACTCGTTTCTTGAAGTGAAGATTTCGTGGCAGGTGCAGCACTTTGTGAACCTCCATGTGCAGATTTCGTGGCAGGTGCAGCACTTTGTGTACCTCCATGTGCAGATTTCCTGGCAGGCACAGCGCTTTGTGAACCTCCATGGGCACATTTCGTGGCAGGTGCAGCACTTTGTGTACCTCCATGTGCAGATTTCCTGGCAGGCACAGCACTTTGGGAAGCTCCATGTGCAGATTTCGTGGCAGGTGCAGCATTTTGTGAACCTCCCTGTGCAGATTTCGTGGCAGGCACAGCACTTTGTGCACCTCCATGTGCAGATTTCGTGGCAGGCCCAGCACTTTGTGTACCTCCACGTGCAGATTTCCCGGCAGGCACAGCACTTTGTGAACCTCCATGTGCAGATTTCGTGGCAGGCACAGCCCTTTGTGAACTTCCATGTGCAGATTTCGTGGTCGGTGCAGCACTTTGTGTACCTCCATGTGCAGATTTCCTGGCAGGCACAGCGCTTTGGGAACCTCCATGTGCAGATTTCGTGGCAGGTGCAGCACTTTGTGAACCTCCATGTGCAGATTTCGTGGCAGGTGCAGCACTTTGTGAACCTCCATGTGCAGATTTCCTGGCAGGCGCACCGCTTTGTGAACCTCCAGGTGCAGATTTCGTGGCAGGCACAGCACTTTGTGAACCTCCATGTGCAGATTTCGTGGCAGGCACAGCACTTTGTGAACCTCCATGTGCAGATTTCGTGGCAGGCACAGCATCTGGCGAGCTGGAAGCTGAGAACTGGCGACTTTGTAGTACAGCTTTAGTACGCGGAGTATCTGGCGAGCTGGACGATGAGAACTGGCGACTTTGTAGTACAACTGTAGGACGCGGAGTATCTGTGGAGCTGGAAGCTGAGAACTGGCGAGTGTCTAGTACAACTTTAGTACGCGGAGCTATCTGTGCAGCTAGAAGCGGAGAACTGGCGACTTTGTAGTACAACGTTAGTACGCGGAGTATCTGTGGAGCTGGAAGCTGAGAACTGGTGACTTTCTAGTACAACTTTACTACGCGGAGCAATCTGTAGAGCTGTAAGCTGAGAACTGGCGACTTTGTAGTACAACTCGAGTACGCGGAGCAATCTGTAGAGCTGGAAGCTGAGAACTGGCGACTTAGCACAACTTTAGTACGCGGAGCAATCTGTAGAGCTGGAAGCTGAGAACTGGCGACATTGTAGTACAACTTTAGTATGCGGAGTATCTCGCAAGCTGGACGATGAGAACTGGCGACTTTGTAGTACAACGTCAGTACGCGGAGCAATCTGTGCAGCTAGAAGCTGAGAACTGGCGACTTCGTAGTACAACTGTAGTACACGGAGTATCTGGCGAGCTGGACGAGGAGAACTGGCGACTTTTTGTAGTACAACTTTACTACGCGGAGTATCTGTGGAGCTGGATGGTGAGAACTGGCGACTTTCTAGTACAACTTTAGTACGCGGAGCAATCTGTAGAACTGGAAGCTGAGAACTGGCGACTTTGTAGTACAACTTCAGCACGCGGAGTATCTGGCAAGCTGGACGACGAGAACTGGCAACTTTGTGGTACAACTTCAGCACGCGGAGCAATCTGTGCAGCTAGAAGCTGAGGACTGGCGACTTCGTAGTACAACTAGGGTTTTACTGGCGAACAGTGTAGTACGCGGAGGAGTCAGCTCTCGCTGCTCATTCATCTCTCGCTGCTGAGTCACTGAGTCAGCTCTCGCTATAGCCATCTCTCGCGGCTGAGTCATCTCTCGCTGCTGAGTCATCTCTTGCGGCGTGCACGTTCAGTTCATACTGATAGTGTTTGGTTGCAGTTATGCAGGACAGGACATTCAACTGCTGGTCAAGACACCGCTCATCATACACCAGTCAGCATACACCACTCGTCATACACCACTCATCATACACCACTCAACATACACCACTCATCATTCATCACTTGTCATACACCCCTCATTATACAAGACTCAGCATACATAGTCTCAGAGTTCAAGACAGATTTTACATTCAAATTCGGATTCCATTCAGTCCGATGTGTGACATGCAAGGTTTGCCGCCACTGAAGAATGCCACGGTGGGATGTGTGTCGATGTGGACCGCATCCTTGGCAAGTCGTGGTGGCCGGATGTGTGTCATCTTTCGCAGGGGGCACACACACCTTACACACGTGGAATCCCTTGGGTCAAAAGTCCGGAGTGCGTGCGTTTGAGTGGAGGACGCGCATGTTGGAGAGAACGTGGACACTCCTATCGGTCCA